CATATAGACGCATAGAGATACATAGAGACTCATAGAGATACCTAGAGACTCATAGAGATACCTAGAGACTCATAGAGATACATAGAGACTCATAGAGATACCTAGAAACTCATAGAGATACCTAGAGACTCATAGAGATACATAGATAGTGAAAGAGACCGATGAGGACTCATAGAGATACATAGAGACTCATAGAGATACATAGAGACTCAGAGATACATAGAGACTCATAGAGATACGTAGAGACTCATAGAGATACCTAGAGACTCATAGAGATACCTAGAGACTCATAGAGATACATAGATAGTGAAAGAGACCGATGAGGACTCATAGAGATACATAGACTCATAGAGATACATAGAGACTCAGAGATACATAGAGACTCATAGAGATACGTAGAGACTCATAGAGATACCTAGAGACTCATAGAGATACCTAGAGACTCATAGAGATACATAGAGACTCAGAGATACCTAGAGACTCATAGAGATACGTAGAGACTCATAAAGATACATATAGACGCATAGAGATACATAGAGACTCATAGAGATACCTAGAGACTCATAGAGATACATAGAGACTCATAAAGATACCTAGAGACTCATAGAGATACCTAGAGACTCATAGAGATACATAGAGACTCATAGAGATAGAGACTCATAGAGATACCTAGAGACTCATAGAGATACTTAAGAGACTCATAGAGATACATAGAGACTCATAGAAATACCTAGAGACTCATAGAGATAGGTAGAGACTCATAGAGATACCTAGAGATTCATAGAGATACGTAGAGACTCATAGAGATACCTAGATACTCATAGAGATACGTAGAGACTCATAAAGATACATAGAGACTCAGAGATACCTAGAGACTCATAGAGATACATAAAGACTCATAGAGATACCTAGAGACTCATTTAGATACCTAGCGACTCATAGAGATACCTAGAGACTCATAGAGATACCTCGAGACTCATAGAGATACATAGAGACTCATAGAGATACCTAGAGACTCATAGAGATACATAGAGACTCATAGAGATACATAGAGACTCATAGAGATACCTAGAGACTCATAGAGATACCTAGAGACTCATAGAGATACCTCGAGACTCATAGAGATACATAGAGACTCATAGAGATAGAGACTCATAGAGATACCTAGAGACTCATAGAGATACTTAAGAGACTCATAGAGATACATAGAGACTCATAGAAATACCTAGAGACTCATAGAGATAGGTAGAGACTCATAGAGATACCTAGAGACTCATAGAGATACCTAGAGATTCATAGAGATACGTAGAGACTCATAGAGATACCTAGAGACTCATAGAGATACGTAGAGACTCATAAAGATACATAGAGAATCATAGAGATACCTAGAGACTCATAGAGATACATAGAGACTCAGAGATACCTAGAGACTCATAGAGATACATAGAGACTCATAAAGATACCTAGAGACTCATTTATATACCTAGCGACTCATAGAGATACCTAGAGACTCATAGATATACCTAGAGACTCATAGAGATACATAGAGACTCATAGAGATACCTAGAGACTCATAGAGATACATAGAGACTCATAGAGATACCTAGAGACTCATAGAGATACCTAGAGACTCATAGAGATACGCAGAGGCTCGAAGAGGCACGTCGAGACGGGGTGAGAAGTGGGGCTAAGTTCTGCCCCACCCTACCCCAGCTGGCATCAAACAGCACGAGATGAACTCACCAATTTATCTGCGCGTTATCTGCGCATTAACTTCATCTGAGATTTGCGTCCGATGCAATTTCCTAGCGACACTACAGTCAACCCCGCAGCTCCCCCCATCGCCACCCCCCAACCCCATCACCACTCCCCACCCATCACTATCATCATCACCCCCAACCCCATCACCACTCCCCAACCCCATCACCACTCCCCACCCATCACTATCATCATCACCCCCAACCCTATCACCACCACCACCATCATCACCACCACCGCAGCCGCCACTAAGTTCGTGATTTTCTAATCACGCGCGTGCGCTAAATGAGGACGAGGAGCTGCGCTTGCCCACGGCGAACTCGGCCTCGGAGATTCACGCGCGCCCAGACGTCCAGGGCGAAGATCCCCCACGTGGCTTTGACCCCAAGACCCCTTTCCTCCTTACAGATTTGAAGTTTTCGTGACTGCAGGAGATCCATACTCTTTGGTTTCCTTCGGTAAAGTCACGTAGGTAGAAAATAAAATTAATTAAATCGCGACGTTTCGGGCGCGTGTCTCTCTCTCTCATCATCATCATCGACACAAGAGACTATATAGCCTCTTGTCACGGCAGCCCTTGCTGTGGTTGTCCCACCTGATGACGGACGCTCGTGTTGCGCCCGAAACACCCGTTACTCTTTCTTTCTAGGGCAAGTGCTCTCAAACGCCCGCGGTAGCTATCGGAGATGTTGACTACCTCGCCTGGTATACAGGAGGTCGTCGTGGGTTCGATCCCGATCCCTGACGACGCCTGCTGCTGCTGTATATTTGGAGTTTGCGTGTCTCTCTCTCATCATCATCATCACGGTGGCTAGGAGATGTTAACTACCTCGCCTGGTATACAGGAGGTCGTGGGTTCGATCCCTGCTGTATATTTGGAGTCGGCGTGTCTCTCATCATCATCACGGTATCTAGATGTTAACTACCTCGCCTGGTATACAGGAGGTCGTGGGTTCGATCCCTGCTGTATATTTGGAGTCGGCGTGTCTCTCATCATCATCACGGTATCTAGGAGATGTTAACTACCTCGCCTGGTGTACAGGAGGTCGTGGGTTCGATCCCTGCTGTATATTTGGAGTCGGCGTGTCTCTCTCTCTGCCTGTGTTGGTCGCGTGGATTTGTCTCCGGGGTGAACCTCCTCCTAGATTTCAGCCGCCACTTCGTGCGAGCTGTCACGTGTCATGGCCAGGGCCGCTTCTTAAACAACAAGGGTCACGTGGCAGCTGAGTTCGCGTGTGGGTACTTACCGCCTTTACAATAAAAACAAAAATTAAATCCGTGACTTAAAGCTTTCGTGACTGCAGGGATTCATATTCGTTGGGTCTTTCGGTAAAGTCACGTAGATAGGTTGAAATACATTTATTTTTATTTTCATTTTTCTTTCAACGTATCTACGTGACTTTACCGAAAGATCCAAATAATATATTGTTTATTTGGTTTATTCAGTAGCGAGTTAGTAAGCAGTGCCTATGAATGCCAACACGGCACACGACAGTGGTGGGGGGGGAGGACCGGCTGGCTGACTCCACGCCCGGCCGCCTTTGTCTCCCCGAGCGTGTCCAGGTTTAATGCCGAGCCGACCTAAGCGGAGCGTCCCACGGTAGAAACGGGCGGACGGATGTCATCGTTTTGTTTGAGGCCGTGGCGTTGGTCGGCGTTGATCGGGAATCGAACTCGGGTGTTCGGAGTGCGGTGGAGTCGCTCCCACCGCTGCACCACGTGGTCTTCGTAGCGGGCAGCACCTGCGAAGGCCGGCACGGGCGGCACACGAGGGGGTTGGGTCGACAGCACCACAAAGACAAAGATCCCCCGTGTAGCCTCTAACAGACTGCTGGGGCAAGTGCTGTTAGCGAGTAGCAGCAGCGCCTATGAAGGACAGAAATACAAAGATCCCCCGTGTAGCCTCTATCAGACTGTCGGGGCAAGTGCTGTTAGCGAGTATCAGCAGCGACTATGAAGGAGATAAGGACAAAGATCCCCCGTGTAGCCTGCGACAGACTGTTGGGGCAAGTGCTGTTAGCGAGCAGCGGTAGCAGCAGCAGCACCTATGAAGGAGACAAAGATCCCCCGTGTAGCCTCTAACAGACTGTTGGGGCAAGTGCTGTTAGCGAGCAGCAGCAGCAGCGCCTATGAAGGCCGGCACGGGCGGCACACGAGGGGGTTGGGTCGACAGCACCACTCAAGCCCGGCCGCCTTTGTCTTCCTCGCCCCCACCACCAATCATTACCCCCCCCCACGCCACTCCTCCACTTAAACAAAAAACAAAAAGTGCGCCAAGTAGCATTGGAGAGGTATCAAGTTAGGCGATACTCACCCTCGACCCCACCACCACCGCCACCACCACCACCAACGCGTGGCCAGCCCGCAGCTGCGCTGGTGGTGGTGGCCGTGGTGGTGGGGAGCGGTGGCGCAGCGGTTAGCGCGTTCCGAACCCCTCCCCCCCCCCCACCCCACCCCACCCCGGCGGGCCCGAGTTCGATTCCCGCCCGCGGCCACCGCAAACCCGCCAGCCGTGGCGATCATCCGCAACCTGTCCTGGGCACTGCCACTAGGTCGACTCGGCCTCAAAGGAGTACCCGGTGTGAGTGGACGCGAGTAACGTCACGTGGACGCGAGTAACGTCACGTGGACGCGAGTAACGTCACGTGGACGCGAGTAACGTCACGTGGACGCGAGTAACGTCACGTGGACGCGAGTAACGTCACGTGGACGCGAGTCCCCGAGTGAAGTGTCGCCGAGCAGGTCGACAGCGAATGAATTAATGAGAGAGGCGACGTCGCTGCTCGCGCGATACGGAGCGCATCAAAGATTTAACATCGCTGCCTGTCTCCTGCCCCCCCCCCAGCCCCTCCCCCCATCCCCCCCGAGCCCCCCCCCGCAACCCTCTTCTCACCTCCCCCCCCCACAAACTCCTCCCCTCCCCCACTAACCCATGCCCCCTAACCCCTCCCCCCCATGCCCCCCTTCCACCCATTCCCCTAACCCCTCCCCCACCACCTCCACCACCCCTCCCCTCCCCCCTAACCCCTCCCCTCTTCCCCCCTAACCCCCCCCCCTCCATACCCCCCCTCCATCCCCCATCTCCCTCCCCCATTCTATGTTTTAATGAACAATGATGAATAACGTAACGCGCCAAGCGGCCAGCAACGAACAGCACCGCGATCAACATTGTCATGAATACATAAATAAAGGGGGGGGGGGGAGGTGGTGGCGGAGGTGGAAGAGGAGATGGAGGAGGAGGTGGAGGAGGAGGTGGAGGAGATGGTGGAGGAGGTGGAGGAGGAGGTGGAGGAGGTGGAGGAGGAGGTGGAGGAGGTGGTGGAGTTGGTGGAGGAGGTGGTGGAGGTGGTGGAGGAGATGGAGGAGGTGGAGGAGGAGGTGGAGGAGGTGGTGGAGGAGGTGATGGAGGAGGAGGTGGTGGAGGAGGTGGTGGAGGAGGTGGAGGAGGTGGAGGAGGTGGAGGAGGAGGTGGAGGTGGCGGAGGTGGAAGAGGAGATGGAGGTGGAGGAGGTGGAGGAGGAGGTGGAGGAGGTGGAGGAGGAGGTGGAGGAGGTGGTGGAGGTGGTGGAGGAGGTGGTGGAGGTGGTGGAGGAGATTGAGGAGGAGGTGGAGGTGGAGGAGGTGGAGGAGGTGGAGGAGGAGGTGGTGGTGGAGGAGGTGGTGGAGGAGGTGGAGGAGGAGGTGGAGGAGGTGGTGGAGGAGGAAGTGGAGGAGGTGGTGGAGGAGGAGGTGGAGGAGGTGGAGGAGGTGGTGGAGGAGGTGGAGCAGGTGGAGGAGGAGATGGAGGAGGTGGAGGTGGTGGAGGAGGTGGTGGAGGAGGTGGTGGAGCAGGTGGAGGAGGTGGTGGAGGAGATGGAGGAGGAGGTGGTGGAGGAGGAGGTGGTGGAGGAGGAGGTGGTGGAGGAGGTGGTGGAGGAGGTGGAGGAGGTGGAGGAGGAAGTGGAGGAGGTGAAGGAGGAGGTGGAGGAGGTGGAGGAGGAGGTGGAGGAGGAGGTGGAGGAGGAGGTGGAGGAGGTGGCGCAGGTGGTGGAGCAGGTGGAGGAGGTGGAGGTGGAGGAGATGGAGGAGGAGCTGGTGCAGGAGGAGGAGGTGGTGGAAGAGGTGGTGGAGGAGGTGGAGGAGGTGGAGGAGGTGGTGCAGGAGGAGGAGGTGGTGGAAGAGGTGGTGGAAGAGGTGGTGGAGGAGGTGGAGGAGGTGGAGGTGGAGGAGGTGGTGGAGGAGGAGGTGGTGGAGGAGGAGGTGGAGGTGGAGGAGGAGGTGGAGCAGGTGGTGGAGCAGGTGGAGGAGGAGGTGGAGGAGATGGAGGAGGTGGAGGTGGAGGAGATGGAGGAGGTGGTGGAGGAGGAGGTGGAGGAGGAGGTGGAGGAGGTGGAGGAGGAGGTGGAGGAGGTGGACGAGGAGGTGGAGGAGAAGGTGGAGGAGGTGGAGGAGGAGGTGGAGGAGGTGGAGGAGGGGGTGGAGGAGGAGGAGGTGGCCACTGATGATGAGCAGGCAGCCAAGTTGCAAAGGGGCGAGGGGAGCGGGGGTGGGGGCTTGTGGGGGAGGGGGGTGCCCCAACGCTTGCGTCGAGGATTCATCCCTCACTCGGCACCAACACCACCTGCACCACCACCTCCAGCACCACCAGCACCACCAGCACTACCACCACTACCTGCACCACCACTACCACCACTATCACCTGGCACCACCACCACCTCCAGCACCACCACTACCACCTGCACCACCACTACCACTATCACCACTATCAGCACCTGTACCACCACCACCTCCAGCACCACCAGCACTACCACCACTACCTGCACCACCACTACCACCACTATCACCTGGCACCGCCACCACCTCCAGCACCACCACTACCACCTGCACCACCACTACCACTATCACCACTATCAGCACCTGTACCACCACCACCTCCAGCACCACCAGCACCATCACCACAACCATCACGAGACTCACACAGAGACCTACAGATTCACACACAGAGACCCACAGACTCACACACAGAGACCCACAGACTCACACACAGAGACCCACAGACTCACACACAAAGACCCACAGACTCACACAGAGACCCACAGACTTACACATAGAGACCCACAGACTCACACATTGAGACCCACAGACTCACACAGAGACCCACAGACTTACACATAGAGACCCACAGACTCACACACAGAGACCCACAGACTCACACACAGAGACTCACAGACACACAGAGACCCCATAGCTCGACCTGTAACTCACCTGGCTTTTTAATTACTCCACACATACACACGCACACACACACCTACGCACACACACACACGCACACACGCACACACGCACACCCACGCACACACACAAAGACAAAGATCCCCCATACAGCCTTAACAGACTGTAGGGGCAAGTGCTGTTAGCGAGCACACACACGCACACACACACACGCACACACACACGCCCCCACACACCCACACACCCACTCACACACGCACACACACACACGCCTCACGTTCAATTTTGAATCGTCACTTTGCCTGGCTGAATTCCAGCTCTGAGGATAATAACAAAAACATTCCACGGTTTTCTCTTTTCTGCCAAGAGTCCGAACAGCTGTGAGAGTTACTTGTACCTTGATTTTTTTAAATCTTAACAGGTAAAGACCCCATCCACTGAGCTCTATAGCCAAATACCAGGCGAAGTCATAGGGGGAAGTGCCCTATGGCAGTCATGTTGGGCTTCCAACTCAATCGCTCCACCTTTAGATTCAACATCACGATCCTGACCCTGACGACGCCTGCTCTGTCATCATCATCACGGTGGCTAGGAGATGTTAACTACCTTGCCTGGTGTACAGGAGGTCGTGGGTATGATCCCGACCCTAACAATGCCTGCTGTATATTTGGAGTCTGCGTGTCTCTCTCTCGCATCATCATCACGGTGGCTAGGAGATGTCAACTACCTCGCCTGGTGTACAGGAGGTCGTGGGTATGATCCCGACCCTAACAATGCCTGCTGTATATTTGGAGTCTGCGTGTCTCTCTCTCGCATCATCATCACGGTGGCTAGGAGATGTCAACTACCTCGCCTGGTGTACAGGAGGTCGTGGGTATGATCCCGACCCTAACAATGCCTGCTGTATATTTGGAGTTTGCGTGTCTCTCTCTCATCATCATCACGGTGGCTAGGGGATGTCAACTACCTCGCCTGGTGTACAGGAGGTCGTGGGTATGATCCCGGCCCCTGCTGTATATTTGGAGTCTGCGTATAACTCCCCCCCCCCACCCCCTCCACACATAGAATGAAGGTCACGCGTTTAGAGAATTTGTCCGCCGCTCGAAAATCCCCACGCGATGTTCCTACTCAGCGGGAAGGGCTCGTGGGGTCGAAGTCGTTGACTCTGTTGGGGTTCTGTACTGGCCACGTGGGCTAGCGACAGATCGAGTGGGAGGCTCACGGCACTAGGAAACGTTCCAGTTCACATCCTGGTTGAGGCGGGGGGGGGGGTTGCGGTTGACTCGGCCCATCACCTTTCCCCCTCTCTCCGCGGTCGATACAATTGAGTACCAATTTGTGCGTTGAAGTCAACAGCGGCTGTCGTATGAACAGTGGGGGGGTGGTGGGTCACTCTCGTCTCACGAGACAACGTCAATATTCATCATCATCATCAGCTGGATGAAGGCTTCTCCAATATCTCTCCATCTCTCCCCCTCTCTCTTCCTCTCTCTCCCTCCCCGAGTTTACCTCTCTCTCTCTATCTCCATCTCTCCCTCTATCCCCCTGTCTCCATCTCTCTCCATCTCCCTCCATCACCCTCCATCTCTCTCCATCTCCCTTCTTCGAACGCTGGGGAGCCGGAAAAGCCCCGCTCTGTACCAGCGTGGACGGCACCCTCCGGTTCACCTTTTGAAGAGCTCGCTTGTCACCACCACCACCACGTGACTTTTCTTTCGTGTTGTGCGCGGTGCTTTTAGCGCCACAGCGCGTGGATTTGTAGCGTTTATTTTCATTTGTGTTGCTGGTGACTTTGTGTATTTCATATCGAAATCGCCTCCAGTGCTGTTGCTACTGACGGCAATAAAAGTTGTTTAAAAGTCAAAAGTCTCCATCTCTCTCTCTCTCTCTTCCTCTCCCCTCGAATTTCCATCTCTCTCCATCTCCCTCCATCTCTCTCCATCTCTCTCCCCTATCTCTTCCCATCTCTCTCCATCTCTCCCCATTTCTCTCCCCCATCTCTCCCCATCTCTCTCCATCTCTCTCCATGTCCCTCCATCTCTCCCCATCTCTCTCCATCTCTCTCCATGTCCCTCCATCTCTCTCCCCCATCTCTCTCCATATCTCCCCATCTCTCCCCATTTCTCTCCCCCATCTCTCCCCATCTCTCTCCATCTCTCCCCATCTCTCTCCCCCATCTCTCTCCATCTCTCCCCATCTCTCCCCATCTCTCTCCATCTCTCCCCCATCTCTCCCCATCTCTCTCCATCTTTCTCTCCCTCCATCTCCCTCCCTCGCTCCATCTCTCTCCATCTCCTCTACCCCCCCACCTGCCTCCATTTCTCTCCATCTCTCTCCATGTCCCTCCATGTCCCTCCATCTCTCTCCATCTCTCTCCATGTCCCTCCATGTCCCTCCATCTCTCCCCATCTCTCTCCATCTCCCTCCATCTCTCTCCATCTCTCCATGTCCCTCCATCTCCCTCCATCTCCCTCCATCTCCCACCATCTCTCTCCATCTCTCTCCATGTCCCTCCATCTCTCCCCATCTCTCTCCCCCATCTCCCTCCATCTCTCCCCATCTCTCTCCATCTCTCTCCATCTCTCTCCCCCATCTCCCTCCATCTCTCTCCATCTCTCTCCCCCATCTCCCTCCATCTCTCTCTCCATCTCTCTCCCCCATCTCTCTCCATCTCTCTCCATCTCTCTCCCCCATCTCTCTCCCCCATCTCCCTCCATCTCTCCCCATCTCTCTCCCCCATCTCCCTCCATCTCTCCCCATCTCTCTCCATCTCTCTCCCCCATCTCCCTCCATCTCCCTCCATGTCTCCCCATCTCCCTCCATCTCTCTCCATCTCCCTCCATCTCTCTCTCCCTCCATCTCTCTCCATCTCTCTCCCCCATCTCCCTCCATCTCCCTCCATCTCTCTCCGCCCCTCTCCCCCCGCGTCTCGTAACCCGATCGCTCCGTTCGCTCGCCTGCTGCTGTTCCTCCCCTCCTGTGCGTCCGTGCGTGATGCTGCTAGGAGGTGTGGGGTTCTTGGTTGTTTTCGGGGGGGAGGGGCTGTGGGGGGTGGTGGGGGCGGGGGGGATGTGTGGGGGGGATGTGGGGGGGGGTGTGGGGGGGAGGGGCTGTGGGGGGTGGTGGGGGCGGGGGGGATGTGGGGGGGGAGGGGCTGTGGGGGGTGGTGGGGGCGGGGGGGATGTAGGGGGGGGCTATAGAGGGCTGTGTCGGAATCGCGCCGCTAGTGACGAGTTTTGGTCGCATGTTCGGATCATATATACAGTCTATATACTGTATCTATATACTGTATAGACTGTATCTATATACTGTATCTATATACGGTATATACTGTATCTATATAATGTATATACTGAAGCTAAATACTGTATCTATATACTGTAAATACTGTATCGATATACTGTACATACTGTATCTATATACTGTATCTATGTATAGATACCAGTCATCGGTAAGTCCACTCAGCTCCACGTCCTCCTGTACCACATCACTCCATCTCTTCTCTAGCCCGTGCCGCGCCCGCTTTGCCCCCTCGATCCGGCCGAACAAAAGCTGTTTCGGCATGCGGTGGCTGGGCATGCGGGCTACATGACCCAGCCATCGCAGCCTTGCCTGCCGGAGGAGCTCACCGATGGGACCTTGCCCAGATCTTTCAAGGATTTGTGAGCTCCTCACACAATCCAGCCTGTTTAAACCCAGGATGGATCGTAGGCAGACAAGCCTAAATGTTTTTAACCGGCGAAGATGTTCCATTAAGGGGGTCCACGTTTCGCAAGCGTAGAGAAGGGAGGGAATGACCGTGGCCGAGAAGACCTGAAGCTTAGTGCGGAGCGACAGACCAGGTAGCTTCCACACAGCGTTACGCAACCGATGAAAAGATATTGCCGCTCGACTGATTCGGAGTGAGACCTCTGCTGTTAAACTGGAGCCGGTCATAAGCACACTGCCCAGGTATGGGAAACTCTCCACTCTCTCCACAACTGCCCCATCACCGATTGGGAGTTGTGGGGGTGGAGTGTCCGATGGAACAACATACCTAGGCAGGTGCTTAGTTTTGGTGGGGCTGATGGTAAGGCCCCACCTCTTAGTGGCACGCTCCAGTCTCAGCAGCAGCGTCTCCAACTCCTCCTCTGAATGAGCAGCTATTACCAAATCATCAGCATACATAACGTGGTTGAGCAATAGGGAGCCATCCCTTGACCGCACCCGGGCATCGATCAGCCTCTCATTATATTTGTACCATATGGAGATTCCCCCGGTACAGCTATTGAAGGCTTCACGAACTACGTAGTCAAAATAGATGTTAAATAATGTGGGAGTCAGAGGACACCACTGTCGCACCCCAAGGTGTACAGGGAATGGCTCG